ATCATCCAGAGGTCAAGGATATTCTCGATTCAGATAAGAATTTGGAAACTGAAGATATTGGCAATGCATTGCTTAGTAAGAATCTCTTAGTTCGGTGTGATCGTGTGGTGAAAACTGTTCGTCCTGGAAAGAGAAAATTGTCTACATGGCCAGCGCATTTGGAGATATTCCCGGTGTGGATTTTTTATTCATTATGTATTTATTTTAAAGTTGGAGGCCTCATCCTCTCTACTTGATCATATAAATTTGATGTTTATTCTAACTTTAAATATATAGTTGTAGAATTCTCTTTAAGGTTATACTTAATTTCTAAATCAATGTACTCCATATTAATAAGAGTGCGTTTTTAAGAAACAGTTGTATTGAACTGTGAACCCATACGATTATACAGAAGGATGAACTGGGGTTGCTCGACAAAGTCAAGAAGGACATAGAAGCTTTAAAAAAAAAAAACAAATATTAGAATTCATAGCCCAAAGAAAGGGCATCAAACTTCCTTAAATATTCCTTACTTTCAAAAATCCAAACCCACAAACTAGCAGATGGAAAAGATTTGATCTAGCCATTCTCTTTTCTATTAAATAGAGGATTTACTTGCTGACATAGGTAAGTGTCTAAATTCAGCCATCTTGATGCAAATTTTAATCATTTGAGCTAGGAACTTATTTACCATCCTGTTCCATAAGTTAGTTTAATATCATGTTCTTTCACCATTTTTTGGTTTTGAACGTGCAACTTACTCTTGCAGGATCAGGTGTTCTCCGAACATGATGCATTTTTTGCGTGGACATTTGTTAAGCGGAGACCATTTTGGCAGACACTTCTTTCATTTTGTTGGCCTGTGTTGACTCTTGCAATTTGCTTGTTTCCTGTATATCCTCATCAATGCAAGCTTTTGATTCTCTACTCATGCGCTGGGGTTCTGCTTCTTATACTCTCACTTCTATTATGTAGGTCATACAATCCCTTTCACTGGCTTATCTTTGTGTTGTTCTTCATTTATATATCAATATATCATTTATATGACTTCGTTAATCTGGGGAGTGCAGCATGAAGTATTATGGTAGGATGATATCACCAAGTTCTTATATGTTTCATGCTTCTTGTCTATGTTCAATGCACTTTTTTTTTTTTTTTTTTTAAGAATGTTGCAAGTGATTGGGTCCGTTTAGGTGCATCTCGGCCATGTTAGCATCAAAAAGTTATATTGTTGGATAGATTATGTGAAAAAGTCGGAAAATGATTGCAATTTCTCTTTCAAATTCTTCATTGTTGTTTGTGGTAGCTTGGTTGATTTTTTGATCTATTGTGGTTCTTCTTTGCACGTAGAAGAGTGAAATTCACTTTGCTAGCACACTAAACGTGTTCTCAATTGTTTTAGAGGTCCCCAAGGGGCTTGAGCCTTAGCAATTTGATGCCTTGAATTGCTCAAGTATTGGAACTTCTTTAGCCTTTACTATCAGAGTGTGGTTTTTATCAAGTATGGCTTAGAAACTTTCGTATTTGATAGTAATTGTGGTATTGATGAATTAAATATCACCATTTTTTGGTCTTCCATTAAAGAATTTCTGGTAGGGTTCTTTCTTCCAGGCGCACAACGTTTGATGTTTTCATTTAAATTTGCAGTGAGGGCAGCAGTATTTGGTTTATCCTATATTCTTCTGGGCAAGCGCATGTGGTTTTTTCCCAATATTCTTGCCGAGGAAGCAACCTTGCGAGAACTATTCCGTTTTTGGCCGAGTAAAGACGAAGAAGAGAAACCGAAATGGACAACCAGACTTTTCTATGCAATGGTGGCTGTACTGATCATACTGTTGATGAGGCATCATGCTCCCGATGAGGCTGCTCGAGCAAGGTTAGTGCCATACCTTTCTAAACTTCCATACCACTAAAGATATGGTACTGAAGAAGTCTATACATGACAATTTACGACAATCTTTTTCAAAGCGACCGAAACTATAGAGTAGTTTAGAATGTGGATCAGTTGCTCTCTGGTTAGCTTAAGAGAATATGATTTGATAACCTACTGTTAATCGACTTAAAAACTTTTTTTTGTTATGGGCATCTGCTTCCTTTCATTTCCTACTCTAAGAGTGTAACCGCTTAAGCTCATCGCTAGCAGATATTTTGTCTTTTTTGGAATTTTTTTTTCGAACTTTTCCTCAAGGTTTTTAAAACGCGTCTTAAATATCTCGAGGGAAAGCCCGAAAAGAAAAGTTCAAAGAGGACAATATTTGCTAGTGGTGGGTTTGAGGCCTTGCCAAAAGGCACAGACATATGAACAAATACTACTTTTCTGTTTTTGGTCATGAAGTGCATTCACTCTTGCAGATACCAAAAGCGTGTTTCGAATATCATTGATGATGTTGTCGAATGGTCTCCAAGACTTGCTCTCTCTGGGATGATGGAGAAGCAGCAAACAGTGGTCAATGTGACAAAGTCGAACCCGGACACGGCAGAGAACCAAACAGATGACATTACAGATCCAGATTCTATCCCTGACCAACCTGAGCCTGAAATTATCGAAAAGTAGAGCATTCTGATCGATATAATCACGAAGGTGATCGTACACATCAGTAGAGGTCTGTTCAGTCTTTTGAGGAAGAGAAGAACCATGGTAAACGTGTTCTTATATGAGCTTTGTTTTGTTTTGTTTTTTTTGTCTAAAAACAGTTGATTTTTGTTAATTTTAACCTTTTTTAGGAGTCACAGAAGTTGGTTTATGTCCAAACTAAAGTGAGCTTTTTTTACTAAATTCTTCCTGATTTACACCACAAACCTCTGCTTTAAAATGCTCCAATCAATCATCTCTACTTTCTTGGGGCAAATGCTCAAGGCAATCGGTTTCACTAACATTAAGTTGCTTTCACCTCATCCCATTTTTTGTCGTTCCTCGCCGAGTGTGAAACCTCACATCGGTTGGAGAGGAGAATGAAACATCCTTTACAAGGACGTAACTTTTCCCTTGCAGACGCCTTTTAAAACCTTAAGAGGAAGTATGGAAGGGAAAATCTAAATGGGATAAAATCGGTTAGCGGTGGGCTTGGACTATTTCATCGTTCCTTTTTTCGAGTGGATGAAGTTTTGGGTATATTGGAAATATTTAACAATCAAATGTTAGTTTTCAGTTTCAAAATTACTTGAATTGTTGTTGGTTATAAACACTTTCCGGTGCTTGGTCCAAGTCATCGACTTAGAGTTAGGTTAGGTGGAGTGAGCTAAAATGTCTTACTCTCCGTTTTGCCTACGTACTTCACAATGATGACGATGACCGAGGGTTTACCAATTTTTAATTGGAATAACATACCAACTTTAGAATTTTAGATTAAACAATTGTGCACCCTAAACACATTATTTATCTTCGTGATTCCTAGACTAAACAACTCCTCTAAACGCAATAACTATGCATAACATCCAAAATGTTGATCTTTTAATCATCTAATAAATGTTTTAACGCTTTACATCAAATTTTAAGTTTAACAAAAGTTACATACTAATAGTAAAATATGATAATATAACAATAGAAACTCATGTATTACATGGTGGTCGTCTTTTTGGATGAGCTCCGACGAAATCAAGATACACAAAAATGTGGTTGATGAGGAATTATATCATCAATATCTTGTTGTGAATGGCTGAAAATGGAGATGGTACGTAATTATCTTTTTGATTTCGAGAACTTAATCCAATGTTCATTTGAACTTTTGATGAGTGTATATGAGAAATTGAAATCTAATCATCAACTATAGGGCCTTAGTGTGGCTCTGAAATATTTTCAGTTTGTTGTCGTTGACATCTACGATGAACTCTTCTCCTATCAGTGTTACACTTGCTTGCACCTAGAAACTAACTGAGGTCAAAATAAGTATTGTTGTACATCTTGAACAATATTATTCTACACACAAGAAGATGTTCATATGATGTTATATAAATAATATAAATGAAACGTGACAACACGAAAATCAAGTAGTCTCTACCATACAAGTGTAATAAGCTCGTCATGTGTGTTATACCTCATTGTGATTTGAGTCATACTAATATGCATTTGACATAGTTGACCTATCTACTATGTTGGCTAATAGCTAGGTCACAACATATAGAGTGTCACAACCTCACCGAGAGAAAGTAGGTTATGATCCCGTAAAGAGGGGCAACCCTCAAGTGGCGCTGCCACATGAGGGCCAAAGATTTAGAAGTGTCATGATGCGACCAAGGAGGACGATACATCATCCAACACATGAAGAGTGTGCATTGAAGCTAAGTTGAGTCATACACAAAGTTTGAGACAATGGCTACACAAGCGTCGAAGACAAGTTCGAAGAAGGCTGGATAGGACCTCTGGCCCTTACCTCAAAAGTTGGAGTTTCGATACGAGTTTCGGCATGCGACTCAGGAATTAAGTCCGTTTATATGAAAGATGAAAGCCCACCAAATTTTGTTTCAATCAAAGACTTGACAAATGATGCACGAGACTATATGTCCGCTCGTCAAAATGATGTCTACTCGAGAAGGATTGAAAATGTCAAAAATTCACTATAGGAGGAGGCACAGTGTCAGTTCTCCACCACCCCCGGGCTTTATGCCAAAAATTCCCTCGACACTTTTATATTTGGTGATTATCTTTTCTATCAAAAGAGTATATCTATATGAGTTTAGTATATTTAGGTATTGAAATTCTTGGATAAATGATGTTTAGAAATGAGAGAGCTCAGTTTATTTATTTATTAGTTCTCGAATAGAAGAAAGAGATTAGTTCTCGAATAGAAGAAAGAGATTGAAGAGAAAACGATGGAATGTAACTAAATGGTTTCCATCCATATCCTAACGGTAATAATTTTGTTTTAAAAAAAATGCTAACGATACTAAAAAAAAAAGACTGTCAAAAGTTCTACAATATTATTAAGACGAGGTACAAAATTGAAGAATATAGATAAAAATTTTCGTTGTCGAGCACTAAAAGTGATCGGCACCGATCACCAATAGTTTGTCAACCTTTGATATTAAAAACTAAAATCTTTAAAGCGTAAGCTTTGTGAATAACAATCTATAAGTTTCCTAAGCCTTGAGATTCATTTAGTTTCACTTTACTATACAATACAAGAGGTCAAAGTTCCCACAAACTCTGTACAAAAAGGCAAGAGTGGAAGAAGAAGAGTGGAATGAAGAGAGCTCTTGGATTTTCAACTAATCCTTTGAAGTCATCAAATCCTGCGAGTCACACATATCATTCCACATTCTTTCTTTTATCACCCCTTCAGAACAACAACAGAACAAAGCCAAGAATGATTTGCCGCCTAGCGCGCTTGCCAGGAACGCAGTAATACTTCAACGAACAAAGCACGAACAAGCGATCGATCCCCCCTCCCCTGCTCGTCCCCCCAATTCAATTTTGGTCATTGTCTTGGCGTTCACCTCCAGTGGCTGGTGCAGGTTGCTACTCAGAGGCCTTGATTGTCAAGGAGCTTCCGTGCTGCTGTTCAGAACTCTCCTTTCCATCCGCTTCATTTTTCTTGGCAAAACGCCCTCCACTGCTCCTCGACCTTCTTATGGCATGCTGGTGTCTAGACTCGTGAAGGTATGGCTGTTGAATAAGAAAAGTGAGCAACATAGCCAAAAAACATGTTTATTAACCAAACTGCTGGCACTTGATTGATTGAACTGGTTTATAATTAGCATACCAAACCACGACTGAACAAGAACATGCCAACGGGTGCCACGAGATATTGAACATGATCCAGTGTTATAAGCTAAATCTATATCCCAAGACTACCTATCAATATTGTCTTATCAGAGAATAAATCTTGATTTGATAATTGTTTAAGAGATTAGTCATCAAACTTCAAAAGGTCAAGCATCACCCCTCCCTCCACACACAAAAACAATCCAGTCCAACAAAAAGATACAAAATCCACCTTTCTAGCTTTTATCAACTTCTTTTCAGCCTCGGCTTTTGCACGCGCTTGCCTTCGCCTCAAAATTCCTTGGTATTGCTTTGCATTCACGAAAACGGGGTCTTGTGCTATCTCAATGGGCAATGGCATTCTAGCATGTGGCGCTCCGACCATAGGATAGCCCTGTCAATGACAAATAAATTTCAAAGCATGAAAATTCTGTTAAGACTTTATGCAATGGAAACATCAGCTCTCCGTGTATGCTGAAGCTATATAAGATATAACAAATTATCACATGATATAAGACAAAAATAAATTATCACGTCTTAATCCAAATCATCAGCATAGACCACTCAACATTCAGTATAATATTTCATGAAACATTCATGAAAACGACCTTGGGAAGTAAAAGAAAAAATTTAACTGATGTATGACAGCAAACAAATTGCATTCTACAGGTTTGGAAGCACAAGCACCATTTTTCACGAAAGTTGGACCAAGAATGGGACTTGAAATTCAATTTCTTGGTAGGGTCAAGAGTGCTACATGTGTGAATTAGAAGTGCCATTTTGATTTTGATTTAAACATCTATGTTAAATGAGCAGAGCCAAGTAATTGTAGAGATAATGATGGTGAAACCAGTCTCGGGTTGGTATGAAGTTGAGATAATTACATACCACGGGCTGATGACCATAGAAAGCCATCATTCCCCCATAATATGGATCCTGATAGGGATTTGATGCACAAGCCTGCAAACGTATGTCAAGAAACACAAGAAATTCTTCAATAATATTATACAATCGTAACTTGGCCATTGGAATCTATGAATCCGGGACTAGAATCACAAAAGTTGTACTAACAAGATAAAGAATTTTCTAAGACTGGACAGCAATTGAACTTACAATAGAGTGACCAACAAGTTCAAGTTGTGTCGACTGTGTCAGACATTCACCGTGCATAGCTGGCAAATTGGATGAGACATGCTGCATCTTCTGAGCATCCTGTCTGTAGCTTCCCGCTGAAATCGTTGAGATGCTATTGTTATTCGGGCATAAACAGCCATATGAAAATTTTCTTATTCTTCACGTTACTTCGTTGCTATTTTTTAAATAATTTACAACGTAACAAAAGTATATCACAATATGGTAAGCCTAATAATTATCAATGCGCGTGTTTTGATGGTATTCTAAAGCAGCCATCAAAACACAAATATCTGAAAACAATAAAGGGTCAAATAATTCTACCTAAGTTAACTTTTGGCTTCCAAAGTTGTTATCTCAAATTTCATAATAACACCTTCAAATAAGTTCAGATTCCACATTGTCAGGCACAAAACAGAAAACCTCAATGACTGTGAGTTGCTTATTGACGAGGGAACTTTCTCTAACAGATATGGGTTAAAGATGTACCAGAATGAGGAGATCCAGTAGCTTGCACTTCTTTGGAAACATCATCTTCTTCATCGTTTACATCATTATTAGACACAGACTGGCCATCATTTGACTCTGAACCACCATTAGGGAATTCAAGAGAAGTCGAACTGGAAGCATTTCCCCCAACCACAGGTAACGGAAAAGGACTGTACCCCATAGAACTGCACCAGGGTTCATAATAGATAGTCGTGGATGGAGCACCATTTGGATCAGATTGGAGCTGATTATTGGTTTCTGACTTTGACTGCATACCTTCAAACCCTTTGAAACAAACAAAAGAGCCTCAAGTTCTCAATTATCAACGTGTAAATTTTGATACCCAACAGTTTAAAAAAAAAAAAAAAAAAAAAAAAAAAAACCCTTTGCTATCTCCAGTAACAATTTAAGTATTATTCCATATTAATTGTAATCTTAGCTTCCAATATCATCCATGATCCGTTGTTTCAATTTATGATTTGTCATAGTCCAAAACGGTAGAACCCGACCTAGTTACAAGGTAGTTGGTGAGCACTTAGACTCTTCAGTCTCTTTCTTTGGGAAAAAGTTTTCTTCTCCCTCTACTTTTGTAAGGCAAGGAGTAAAAAGTAACTGCAGGAGACGTAAAAAAACAAGTTTTCCATGATTCAGCCTGTATAATTACACCTTCCCAATACCATTGTTTTACATGATTCAATCCTGTACTATTACATCTTTTCAATACCTTTTGACTAAATTGTTTTCCACGTCTCTTCTGTTTCATGTAAGATGAATGACTCAATTCGGATTCCTGGATGGCTACAATAACCCATTCTTCTCTTCTCTCTCGAGAGAGCGCGCACACACCACTCTCTTTCCCTTCACATCTCTTGAAATTTAGGGTTTCATTGTCCATAAATTGATTAGACGATGCAGGGCACTTGAATTGTGGCAACAAAAAGGCACAAAAAAAAATCCAAAAATTCAGCTCAATAAAATACTATTAACCATATCATATCGTTGGGATTCGCTCCAAATGCCTTATTCCCACCAACAAAACCAAACCAAACCAAACCAAATAAAGCTAACCCAGAAACTATTCCAATTTAAAATCCAAATTAATCACAAAGCCAATAAGCCTAACTTATCTGCTCTTACGATCAGTTAATACCAGATGAAGAACAGGTAAAACCTGAAAGATACACAACCCTAGAGGATTTATAAAGCTTCACCTTGCAATAAATAGAACTATTTTCTCTAGAAAGTTGCTCTCCAGCATCCTAGCTTCGTTTTAAGAACCAACAGAGCATAGTACCGGTCACACATACTTGGGGAATGATTATAACTAAAATAAACAAATAAAAACAATCAGAGAAAGGGCTAATCTCAGGTGATAAGGTACAAAAATATTCGTTCACTGGCATCTAGAAAGTTACATGCACTAAATTACCACCAACAGCAAATCCTGTTTCATAAGCTAAGACTGAATTATACCACCAGATGTGTGTTTCTTGTTACTCAAATGATGCAAAAGTGACCAACCTAGAATCAGGAAATCCAGACACAGAAAAAAGCAACAGGCACAAATTTTCAGTTCCTTTATCCATCAACATCTTCAAAACCTGTGATCATCTGACACATGTTATCCAGTAACCTCACATAATTTCTTTTTTCTTTTTTTAAAAAAAAAAACCCCTCAATCCTCCCTAAAAGGAGCTAAACAAATAAAAAAAAAACAGAGCGTCAGAGGAATTCTCATCCGTAACACATCAATCAGCTTTCAACTCCCATAACATCATCCATCCAATTTCCCAACAATCGCAAAATCAAAACCAAATCTGAAACCATCAATCACCCAACAAACCCGAAAAAGGGGCAAAAGAATCCCTACACAAGCGAATTGCGCGAATACCCTAGAAATCAAACACCAGATACACATAGCAAGCCAAACGAAAGAATCCAAGAAAAATAGCTTACCGGAAGGAATTCGAGCAACGTTCAAAATCTGAAAGGAACGAAGAGAATTCGAAGAAATAAAGAAACAGGGAGATTGAAATTAGTTCTTGGTGAATTGAAAAGGCTGTGAATTCCAAAAATGAAAAATTCTCAGTAGGAAGACTCAGTTTCAACTTTGAGGGTTTTTAAATCACAAAGCTACGGATATGATAATCTCACCCACTATAAGACCTCACCCTTTCTCCTTCTCTCCCCCTTCCTTTCGTCTTTTTTCATTATAAATATTGTTCCTTTTTTAATATTAAATTTCATCTAAATTAAATCTTTTGCAATAAAATAATTAAAATTCTAATTTAAATATACAAATAAATTATAGATGTTCTTATTTTTAATCCATATAATTTATTAAAAATATTTAATTACAATATTTTAAAACTTAAATATCATTACTCGAGTAACAATTTAAAAAGTATGATAAGGTTCGGTTGGGTTGTGAATCCTATTTTTCAGATTGTTCCGTCAATTCGACTAAAAATGCTTCATACGATAACTGAATCAAAATTTTCAATTTTCCTAAAATTTATCTCAATCTAAATTGATTATTAAAAAATAATTAATTTAACGCTTACGATTTGAGTTAGATAGATGAATACACGAAAAAAAACCAATAATTATGTTAAAAATTAGAAATAGATAATGATTTTTTTTCATAATAAAGTTTGTAAGAAAAAATCTATTTTTATTTTTATTTTTATTTTTATTTTTATTTTTATATTTCTCTCCTTGCTAATTTAATTTCATTAAAATGAATTATAAAAAAGGTGAACAAAAGTTATTAAATTAATATTTTATTTGTTTATTTAAATTAAAATATGTGGCTAGTTATGAACCTTTATAGTATTAGGATATATTGGGATTTTTTTTTTCTTTTTTGGAAAATATTTATTTAAGATTTATGGTAACAATAAACCTTCCATTTCCTTTTTAGCTTTGTATTTAAAAAAACCACACGACAAATAAATAAATAAAGGGATCGGGAAAAAATTATTACAATCCAACCCACCAGCTTACAGGTCGGGTTGAGTTGGGTTATGAAGTCTATTCAAGTCATTTCAGTTACCAACTCAATTAATTCAAAATTTCAAGTTAATTTAGAAAATCAAAATGGGATTAAAAAACGGGTCGTAGTAATTTAAATAATATTATATTCGCAATTTTCTAACATTTGTAATGTAAAATAAAATTAGGGTGTGGATAAAATGGCTAGGAAAATCTTTTAGACCAACCCAAGTTGGTAACCCGAATAACTCGAGTTCACAACCTAACCCTCTGAGTTAGTTAACAACTAAAATCTCATAAAACTTAAATATTCAACATTTACGAGTAGGACTACATCACTAACATCGGTTACAAATATTAAATATTCTTAATTTTCATAATAATGTTAGAGTAAGGTAGGGTTGGATTGTAACGGTTAGTCGAGTTGATCTGACTAAAAAAATTGTCCACCCGTTAACCGATCTAAATTTTCGATTTTTTCAAGAACTCAATGCAACTCAAATCGAATTTCTTTTTTAATCCAACCCGACTTTTACGATTTTGAATTAGGTAGTTCTAATTGGTCGGATTCTTGAATCATACGAATACCTTAAAAGAAACGAACACAATATATAATCTAAATTTTTTTTTATATGTTTTTAGTATTGGATAGCAAAACTAAAAATTATTTTTTGATTTAAAAAATGGTTTAAAATCCAAAAAAAACAAAACAAAAAAAAAAGATCACACGAATATTTAATTCAATAAATCAATTTTTTTTTTTAAAAAAAAAACCACAGTTTGGATGACTCAGACCCTCGCTATTACCAAAAGGATGACTCAGATTGTTTAATTAAAAAAATAAAATAAAATAAGGCGTTGTGATGGGGTGACGGTGGTTTTATCATTCCCATAGAGAGATTGGAACCCACGTAATGCGGTATTGACTAAAGAAATTCTGTCAACACGTGGCGCAAAAGCGTGGACCACTCAGCACAAAACTGACACCACCGCTGGCCACGTGTACTTTCCTTTATAATATAATTTTTCATTTTTGAAATTTAACCAACCTTCCATTTAAACACCAAATATTTTAATTATATTGATGAGATATAAATTTAAGTTTTATATTAAATAAAATTCTAAATTTAAATTTTGTGTTTAATATTTTAAAATTTTTAAAAATGGAAGGACTATTTTTTTTTTTATACATAAAATTGAGAGATAAATAATTCACTACTAAGATATAAAAACTTATTTATTACTTAGGCTTAAATAATAATTTTTATAAATAGAATATATTTTGTCCGGCTCCGATTTTGTTAACCCGACCAACTTGAAAATAGATTCCGACCCAACACTATATTACTCTACTTTTAAGATTATTACCCATATTAAAAATATTTGACATTTGTAACTGATGTTAGTAATGGGTTGTGACATGTAAGTGTTTGATATTTGAGTTTTATGAGATTTTCGGCACTGATGTAACATGTATTGTGGATATGTATGATTTTTTAAATAATTAAAAAAATAACTCAACAACCCAACCCAACCCAACCCGAAATTTCAAGTTGGTCTAAAATATTTCTCTGGCCCAACAAACTCAACTCGTGTATACTCCTAACATGAGCTGGATTTATGAATTTCTAATGTTAGTTATGGTTGAACCACACTAAACCGAACTAGCAAAAGTAGAAGAAAAATTAGTTCGAAGAGAAGAATTTTTCCCACCTACACGGATGGTAGTCAATCACTATAACCAAAGTGCTTACAAGTGTATTTCACACTCTCACATTACAAAGTCCACCGATAACAAATAATGTCCACTTTGCCCCATTACGTCTCACCGTGAGCCTGACAATTTTAAAACACGTTTGTTAGGGAGAGGTTTCCACTCCTTTGAATGATTTGTTTCTCTCTTCAACTGATGTGTGATTTGAGAGTAACCCAATTTTCGGGTCGATTAGGTTGACCCAACCAAAAAATGTCAACATGTAAATCAACCAAATTCTCAATTTTTCGAAAATTCAACAGTAAAAAAAAGAAAAAAAAAATATCGAACTCAACCCAACTTTTATGGTTTAGGTTAGCTAGTCCGAGTTAGTCAAGTGACTAGATGATATGAACACCTCAATTTCCGATCACGATCACATTCTCCTTTCCTATTTCAAACAACTTCCCTCCTTTTTCAAATCAAACAAACATGAGTCGATCGTATATTCATTACAGTTCCATGATTCAAAGTATCATTTCTCATACGATCCCTTTGAATTCCAAATGAAAAAAAGCAAGACCCAAATATTGCTTTTGAAATGTCGGGTGTAGAGCTATGCATTTGGGGTCATCCTAATTGTATAGACGATAGTTTTTCGAATTATAATCTTTAGGAATTAAAGCGTTTTCATTTTAAGAAAGAAAGGAGCTAAAAGAATGTGAGATGGGATGAATTTGGGACATTAGAGTCAATTAAAGGAAGTCATGGTCTTAAAGAAAGACAAAGCAATTCTTTTGGCCTATAATTTATGCTTTGTAAGGCAAAGCCTAAACAACGTTGGACCCTATCAAACATGTAATGAGAGCTAAAGCTGACATTTATATTTACCCAATTTCTTTTTAATCATCTAATTATTTTTATTTATTGAAGTTTAAAGATAAAGCAAAAAAAAAATATGTTTTATCGTTGGTTTTGGATAGACGAACACGACTATCTATAATGTTATGATATTATCCATTTTGAGTATAAGCTCTCATAGTTTTGCTTTGGGCTTCCCCGAAATGTCTCATACTAATGGAAAGAGTATTCCTTGATTATAAACCCATGATCATTCCCTAAATTAGCCGATGTGAGATTTTCATCATCCAACAATATCATTACTTATAACAGTGAAGAAACCTCTAAGGACGTTAGGCTGTCGAGGAGATGGATCGTGAGATCTCACATTTGTTGGAAAGGGGAAACGAAACATTCATTATAATGATGTGGAAACTTATCCCTAATAATGCGTTTTGAAACCGTGAGGCTGACGACGATACGTAACAAGCCAAAACGGACAATAACGGTTAGCGGTGGGATTAAGTTGTTACAGTTTCATTAATATTACCACGTTTAAAAGTTTCATAATAACGTTTCGTTAGTATCGCGTTTCAAAAATATTAATGAATTTTCAAAAGTTATCATCATAATGTATGAGATACGATAGACAGTTTTCGTCCATATATTGATGATAAGTAAACCTAAAATATGTTATTTACTTTAAAAAATTTTAAGTATTTTTTAAATCTAATAATAATAAGCTTAAATGTATTTTTTTTTAATTTAAGAATATTATTGAAACTTTTAATTACCTTGTGAATTTTTTTGTTTTTTATTTTTTATTATTAATTCAGCCCATATTGTATTTACATCTCTTTAAAAGTTTAGTAATTTTTTCAAAAATTAATTAAATTATTTTATTTTATTTATTTAATTAATTATATTTTCTCAATTTCTTTTTAATCATCTATTTTTATTTATTTATTTATTGAAGTTTAAAGATAAAGCAAAAAAAAACATAAATTTTAGAACATTATTTTATAATTTAATATGAAAAAGGATGATTTCTAGATATTCTCTATATGATTTTATGTTGATTAAAATTATTTAAAGAATATTCAAAAAGAAATTTGGAAAGAAAAATAAAGTGTAGATTTTATTTATGGAATTTTGATAAAGATTAGTATCAAATTTAAAATTTTAGCTTTTTTTTAGTTTAAAAAAAAGTTTGAAAAATTATGAAAATGAAAGTCGAAAAAAAAAAAAAAAAAAAAAGGTGTCAATAATAATAATTATAATTATATTATCAAATGCTCCGATCCATATCAGAAAAAATGTTTTTTAAATAGATGAATTCGTTAATACTTTGTTTCAAAAATATCCTTGAGTTTTCAAAAGTTTTTGTGGTTTGAGAGGGGAACGAAACATTCTGTGTGGAAACCTCCAAGAACGCTGGACACTCAAGAGGGTGAATTGTGAGATCCCACATTGGATGAAAAGGGGATCGGAACATTCCTTATAACAGTGTGGAAACCTCTTCCTAATAGATATATTTTAAAACCGTTAGGCTAACGGCGATACCTAACAAGCCAAATCAAATAATA